GGGTGGGGGGTCCTCCTAAGGCACACCGTAGAAAAGGACCAGTCACAATCGTATCTACTTTGGGGTTTCCAGGAATTAGAGGTACTTTTTGGGGAGTTCCTATAATACGAAAGAAAATTTTTGGGGATCTATAGTGGGCCCCCATGTGTGGAAACTTCCCCATTCGAACATGAGGGAACATCTGCTCCGGCTGCGATTGCTATCGCTCCTGTTCCCGTCTACGCGCCGCATGGCGACGGACTGACGGACTGACTGACAACACCCTAAACGGACACCCTAAAACCTAAACCCTAGAAATGTTCTGAACATGAAGCGTTGTCTTGGTGCTGTATGCGCTCTTCTTGTGCATGTTCAACGTGTGAACATGTTCGGCTTGTAACACCTTCTTCCCATAGCGCGGCAAAGGATGTTCTCAGATACTAGAAGTGGTAGTCTCCCTAAATCGGGGGACNNTAGACCCCGAAATACTGTAGTCCTTCTTCTGGGTACCCTTGATGTCGGAAAACCCAAGTCACGGTTAGCCTTGTACCCCTCTCGCATGCCATCCAATGAGCAGCAGTCCTGCACAGATTTTGCTACGGAGGCAACCAGGAAGAGTATAATGGCAATAGTAAGCATAGTAATAAGAATAGCAATGGTAATAATAACTATAACAACTGAATGGGTCTCTTCTATCAAGGTTTGGCTTTGTATCCTCAAATTATTCTTCCCGTTGCGATACGGATACCTCAAAAAAAGGAGGAGCCATTTTCAACATCCTTGGTGCTGCCGCAGCGTCAGGGCTGGGAGGCTTGGTAGCTTGCAGAGCAGAAAAACATCGCACCGCGAGTAAGGAGGAACTGCAAAACGAATTCGCTGTTCCATGCAAGAGTGCCTCCATTACCAAGACCATAGTTGCTAGAACTGCAGTTGTGCAGGTGGCAAGCTGATTATTCTTCAGTATCTATACTACTCAGCGGACATTGTTGTCAAGCTCCTCGTCAATCTCTCCCTCGCTCCTGACATCAGCGCTGTGCAGTATGAATAGCAAGGCTCAATGCATCCAGGATTCTGCAGGACAACAGCTGGGTTGCTGTTAAGGAA